ATGCTATACTCTACATCTTATCTTTCAGACAACACTGTAGTTCTCCAAGTGACAAGTTTCTGTGACTTCCACTCCTGCATTGGATTCTATTAAAGGGGTCATATGATGTTGCTAAAAAGAACATTATTTTGTGTATTTGGTGTAATGAAATGTGTTTATGCGGTTTAAGGTTAAAAAAACACATTATTTTCCACATACTGTACATTATTGTTTCTCCTCTATGCCCCGCCTTTCTGAAACGCGTAGATTTTTACAAAGCTCATCGTTCTGAAAACTAAAAGAAAAGACATATACACAAAACACTTAGCTTTCTAGTAAAAACAGTAATACATCAGGAGAGTTCCTTTAAATGGAAAAACCGGGACCTGTGGAATTCCAGCTGACTCATGGGAAAGCAGTATCCCTCTAGGACTTTACGCAGCTCATGTTGCTGTATCTGCCCATCACTGTTGTAGTCAAACAGCCGAAAAGCCCTATTGATGTTTTTCAAATTGCCTCCAATCTGAAATGATGAAAACCATGAATATTACACACTAACATCAACAGGTAAATATTTATATAAAATTCATACCATGCTATACTCTACATCTTATCTTTCAGACAACACTGTAGTTCTCCAAGTGACAAGTTTCTGTGACTTCCACTCCTGCATTGGATTCTATTAAAGGGGTCATATGATGTTGCTAAAAAGAACATTATTTTGTGTATTTGGTGTAATGAAATGTGTTTATGCGGTTTAAGGTTAAAAAAACACATTATTTTCCACATACTGTACATTATTGTTTCTCCTCTATGCCCCGCCTTTCTGAAACGCGTAGATTTTTACAAAGCTCATCGTTCTGAAAAGCGAGGTGTGCTCTGATTGGCCAGCTATCCAGTGCGTTGTGATTGGCCGAATACCTCAAGCGTGTGACGGAAATGTTACGCCCCTTACCATACTGTGATGCCCTGTATGGCCGGAGCGCCGAGACAAAAACATTAAAACCCATTATAAACAAGGCATTTGTTGCAACCCAACGTCATTCGCGTTTTTTTACATTGTCCAATCGAATGAACGGAGAGGCGGGCCTTCCGTTGTGATGACGAAAGTTTACTTTACTTTACTAATATTTTAGAGCACTCGCGCGATTAGACTGACAGGGCAGCTGATTTGGTGGTTGCCTAGCAACAAAAAAAACGCAGCGCACTGCTCTTTTTTAAAAATCACCAAAAAAAGGCAGTGCGGTGCCTCTCGCGTTTTCAGACCTACAAAACACGTTTGGTGTGATCGGGGCTTTATACTGTCTTTCTACGCGTTGCGTTGCATCACGCCGCGTAAACATAAAACCATGTCTGCATTTGTGATCGGAGAAATGACAAACAACAAGCGCTA